AGAAAAGATGAAGTGGAATAATAAGCCAGACATGTACTCAAAAAGTCCAATTCTATCTCTGCATCACACCACCACAAATTCTAGATGGAGTGAACCCCTAAATATGCAGGACAAGACTGTATAGCTTTTAGAAGACAGTTTGACAGAGTAACTATGATTTCAAGTACTGAAGAATGGCCACGGACATATCACAGTCCTACACCTCTCTCACATATATATTGCAAAAATTAAGAAATTTGATCACATCAAAATTGTAACTATTCCTCCCAAAAGATAACAAAGTTAAAAGGTAAACCACAGATTCACAGAGACATTTACTAACACATTAAAACCAAGTTTTCATATCTAGATTATTCAGGGAGTCCTGAGTCTTAATGCAGTTTTAAGCTTATATTGTTTCAGATGTGTAAGTCCTACTAACTTACATTAACACTATTTGAAAAGTTATTTATATTTTAAAATAATGACGTTTCTTCTTTTAGTTTTTAAAATTTTTTTATGTTTATTTTATTTTTGAGACGTGGGGAGGGGCAGAGAGAGAGGGAAACACAGGATTCAAAGCAGGCTCCAGGCTCTAAGCTGTCAGCACAGATCCCAACATGGGGCTTGAACTCATGGAGTGCGAGATCATGACCTGAGCCAAAGTCAGCACTCAACTGACTGAGCCACGCAGGTACCCTGCTATGTTTCTTACTAAAATTCAATATAACTATTGTCTTGTGCTACACATCACTCTAGTCAATTTTCAAATTTTGTAAAAACTTTTCTCAGCTATTGCTCAGCAATTGAAAGAATAGTGTTTATAATCCTGGCCTCAAGATCTTCCAAGAAGGAGGTTTTCATAAACACATGACAGACAGTTTAACATGACCCCACAAGAAAAAGTCTAATGGAGACAGATCAAGAGACCTAGGTGGCGAAGTAGTAGATTTCCGCCACTGAGCCATTGAGAAAACGTCATTCAGAAACTATTACACCAAAATCAGTTAAAATTAAAAATTTACTTTTCAAACCCACAAAAATAAATAAGTAGAAGGGTAATATAAATAATTATACTATCAAGTGATATATTTGTAACTGGAGCATTTAAATTTCTAGAATCATTAAAGCATAAAACTTCACTAAGACTTTTGAAACACTCTGCATAATAAATGCCTACAAATTTTCAACTAAAATTGCTTATTTTTCTCTTCACATTATTCTCACATTGTCACATTATCACTCTCACATTATTTCTCTTCACATTATCAATATGGGCTATTGATAGGTATGTGTATATATGTATATATATGTGTGTATATATGTGTATATATATATATATATATATATACACACACTCAAGATCATAATATCTTTTTTTTTGATTTAGCATTTCTTTTAGCAATATTATACTGCCTATATTTTTCAGGATTATGTGGCATTTATTATAAGGAATTGGTTCATGAGATTATGGAGTTTGACAAATTCCACTATCTACCATCTGCAAGCTGGAGACCCAGGAAATCAGTGCCATTTTCCAGCCAGAAACCAAAGTCCTGAGAACCAGGAAACCTAATGGTGTAAATCTCAGTCCAAGGGTGGGAGAAGATAAGATGAGTTTTCAGCTCAAGCAGTGAGGCAGGAAAAAAGGGGAAAATTCTTTTCTCCACCTTTGGTTTTCTTCAGGTCCTCAAGGGATTGGATGCTACCTACCTACATTGGGAAATCTACATTACTGAGTCCCCTCCCCCACCCCTGTTCAACGCTAATTTTATCTGGAAACATCCTTGTGGTAAAACCCCTGTTCAACGCTAATTTTATCTGGAAATAATGTTTAACATGTGCATCCCATGGGCACTGAAGTGGACACATAAAATTAACCATCACATCATTCATCTTTGTTCTTTAAGGGATGTTAAGTGAAAAAAAAAGGTACAGGATATTGTATATGTACCCATTTGTATAAAAAGAAGGAGTTACATATATATCCACATGCACACTAGTTCTCGGTTCTCTTTAGGTGCTATATAATTGGAGGAAAGGCAAATGTGGAGTCCATTCTTCTCATATACAGGCATTGATGAACAGAAGGCCGTAGTCTTACCTGCTTTCTGCCAAACTGTGCAGAAGAGGAAAATAGGTTTCATGAGAAGAACTAAAAACCACTGGGGATTGCTTTAATAGCTAAATAGGTAAAATGCAAAGATAAGAGAAACCATCACAGATAAAACTTAGCCTTCAGTAATGAAGCCAGCTATAAGCCACAGTTTAGGATTTTTAGCTGGAAATTAAACCAGTGTTGAGTGTTAACAGGACTAAGGATTTTTAAATATACATCAAGCAAGTGATGTCCAATCCCCACCCCACCCCAATCTTCCCCAAGGGGTGTGAACTAGTCAGGGCTGGGATTACAGCAACCTGGAATGGAATTTCTTACCCAAGGCAACTGGGGACATCAAAGGATTGAGGAAAGTAAAGATCTGAGTAGCAGTGCAAAGGCCCAAGGTAGAAATAGTCACGCCACAAGGAATGTCTGAAAGATTACTAAAACTAAATGAGAATGAACGGACAAAATTAGAAGTGACACTAAAGTCAGACATATGGAAAGGAATATATGATCAAAGAGATAAGAATAGATTAAACCAGTTGGAAGCAAAAAGGAAAAGGGGATTTCTAGAAAACATGCTTGTCTAGCTTGTAAGTATGGAAAATGCACAGGGCATGGGCATAGAATCTGGGTTTGCTGGCTTTGATGCTTTAAGGATAGAATGGAACAGGTGAATCTAAGCATACTTTGGAGATTTGCAGGTTTGGTTCCAGGCCACAACAATAAAGTGACTCTCGCAATAAAGCAAGTCAAATGAAAGTTTTTATTTTCCAGTGCAAGCAAATTATATTTACACCATACTGTAGTCTATTAAGTGTGCGATATCATTATGTCTTAAAAAAAAACATAAATACCTTAATTAAAAAAATACTTTATGGCTAAAAAGTGCTCACCATCATCTGAGCTTTTCAGCAAGCCATAACCACTGATCACAGATCATCACAGTAAATATAGTAACAATGAAAAAAGCTTGAAATATTGTGAGAATTACTGAAATGTGATACAGAGACACAAAGTGAGGAAATGCTATTGGAAAAAATCATGCCAACACACTTGCTCGATGCAGAGTTGCTGCAAACCTTCAACTGGGAAAAAAACACAATTTATATGTGCAAAACACAATAAAGCAAAGCTCAATAAAATGAAGTATGCCTGGGGGTGCCTGGGTGGCGCAGTCGGTTGGGCGTCCGACTTCAGCCAGGTCACGATCTCGCGGTCCGTGAGTTCGAGCCCCGCGTCAGGCTCTGGGCTGATGGCTCAGAGCCTGGAGCCTGTTTCCGATTCTGTGTCTCCCTCTCTTTCTGCCCCTCCCCCGTTCATGCTCTGTCTCTCTCTGTCCCAAAAATAAATAAATGTTGAAAAAAAAATTTTTTTTTAAAAATGAAGTATGCCTGGATCATTAAACTATGATTTAGTAACCTCTGTGAATGGATAATGTACATTAATTCTTACCTATTTCAAAGCTCCATAACTTAATAGTCTAAATATTGTGGTAAAGCCCACCATGAGCCACCTTTGTCCCTCTTATCACAAGGAGTCAAATTGAAAAGTAGTATTTAAAGGAAATTATTCCCAGTACCTTTCAAATCCATTCCTATTTCCAAGACTGAAGGAATTATTCCAACATGGAAGAGGAAACGTTGGTTTAAGGTAATTGATGTGAAAAAATGTAAACATTAATTATTTCAGATTATTCTACATGCTAATTGAAGCTATCCAGTTGAACTTAAGTGTCATCCACTTGTCCTATAGGTTGAGCTACCCTTTACTGCCTGAACCTAGGGACAGTCAACTCTTATTACCAGCATCTTCCTCTTGCAGCATCTTCAGCCCCATGTAGAGGCCTTCACTGTTTTCCTTAAAACTCTTGACTTTTGCGTTGTATCATCAAGAAAGCCCTCTACCTCCTACCTAAACTTAATGAACATATGAAGTTTTGGCAAGAGCGTGAAACTATTTTCTCTCTTTGATCTAACTGCCCAGACAACAAGTGTTTCCCTTATATTTCAGCTGGTCCAAGCAGCAAGGGAACTTACCTTAGGATGCTGGTTTTTGTTGAATATTAACCATATGCCATAGTCATCTTTGTCCGTAGGCAGTCAGCACACATATGGCTATTTAAGCCCACAGGGCTTTGTAATCCATCTTTTCTTCACTGTTCCATTGTCTTGGGCAGAGTAGTCTGTAAAACATTACTGAATAGTGGCACTCCTCACTTATATCAAAGATGATTCCATTTTGAGGAGGAGATGTTGCTAAATATCACTCTAGGGCTGAACATCAGCAACCCTTCTAATTGGCAAAACAAAACAAAACAAAACAAAAAAAAACCAACCAAACAGACAAAAAAATCAAACCTGTCTATTCACTTCCTTTCTCATTATTCCTCAGCTCCTGATTTATCCCTATCTACGATGAGCCCACACTTCCAATTCCACACTCTGCCTCATGCTCTCCTTTGGTATAATTTCATTTATTACCATATACATCACCCCTACTTTAGCAACTCACTCCCAGACACATTCCATACTTAAATGTCTTCTTTTGTTTCTCAGCTAGACTCCCTTGTCCTAGGTTGCATGTTCTCCAGGCCACATTCCGTGCTGCTTTAGAAAAATTTACACATGCTAATATGTTAATATGTACAAATAACATAACATTACCTACTTCATCCACAGAGTGACAAATTAACGTTACAGTTCCCCAAAGAAGGACTACTAATGCTGGAAAATTACAGGTAAACATATAGGAAGACAGTATTCTTGGAGACTGGCTGTGTTTTCTGATCTTCTTCAAATCCCTGAAGTGTTTACTGACGCACTGGAAGTACTGCACTATGGGTGGATGGTCTGTTTGTCCTACAAATAAGTAACCAGCATGTTTTGTGCTCCTCTGGTCTCATTTTCCTTTCCAGGTCCTAGTCATGGTAGTTTACCACATGGTATTTGGACAAGTTAGAGGGAGAACAAGTAATGGAAACACCCTTCTTCAGCAAAGCTTCTTGGAAACAGAATTGGGATAAGCAGATGGTGAATGTCACACTGGATCAGCTGCAATGGATAGACACCATGGGAGAGTCTCAATGGACCCTCTGTTGTCCACCCTTGGCATTAGGTAGTGACTCAGATCTAACTTAGGCTGCTTTTATGTAGCAACTACTGAACACTGCTATTGCTTTTGATGAAAAGAGCCCTGTGGATTGTTTTTGATCTGCATATTAACAAAGAAGAAAAAGACAGCCAGGTTATTTCTTAGGAGCAGCAAGAAAGATTTTCCCTTAAAGATGTGCAAGACACATCTCTGCTGGAACGTGCGCGCGCGCACACACACACACACACACACACAATGAAACAAAATGAAACAAAACAAAATAAAACAAATGCAAAACCCTTTCATCTGGGATCTCTGGTTTGCTTTCTTTTATTCCTTAGTATACATGAATATGTGAAAATGCACAACACTCAGATGTGTCGCCTGATCGAGTGATAATCTCTTATAATGTGCCTCTATTTAAAGCAACAAACAGATGGAGGGTTTATGAGCAAGGCTGGTAAAAGTAAAAGCAAATTATTGTAATAGTTGTACTTTTAATAGGATTCCCCACAATCTAAAACATTATTCCCCAAGGAACAAATTGTTCTATAAAATTGCATTACTTAGGAAAAAGACAGTCCGCCCTGACTTTGCAGAGGCAACAGAGGACTCCGGGATGGCCTTCTATTGCAGGGGCACTCAAGGCAGATCGGTGTCCTGGGAGAGAGGATACAGGGATGTCAGATACCATGATCTCCTAAGAGAAAGCTCAGAGGAATAGGGTATAAGGCAGAAGGAGCAAGGGGAAATTGGGGGCATGTAAGAATTCTAAGCTTTGATTGAATTCATTACCTTCTAATTTTCTACTTTAAAAAACAAGGTTTGGGAAATTCTTACAGATTTTAGCATGCAACATTGCTTCCTCCTCTACGAATTCGGACCAAATTCTAGCTGTAGCACAGCAAATCTTGCTTAACAAACAGTATAACTGTAAACAGTCCAACACTGATTCATTATCATTATCCCTTTTTAAAAGAAACAAAACTCATACTCATTCTATCATTAAGATGAATATATCATAGTGATGGCCTTTACGTAAATTATAATTAAAGCTAATTTTAATTAAAGTTATTACACCCTTTTGGAAGAAAATAAACAACCCAAAGAGAAGGAAACAATGTGGTCAATAACTCACTCCAAAAGTATTTTTTTTTGCCTCCAAAGCTCGCATTGAGGGAGACATTCCTGTGCATGATACAAATGGTTCTGACATTAAGAAAAGTAAACAAGTAAGAAAAATAAAGATGGAAAAATTCTGTGTCAGTTCACAAGTGCTTTTTTATTGTTTGAGGCAGGGTTAAAGCCTTTTATAAAGACAAGGATATATGTGCCGCTAGATTAAATATGACATTGGACTAGTCTAGCTGCCCTTGCACAGAAATCTGGCTGCCCGTAATATGCCATGGACAAAACATGTGTTGGTGTTTCTAAACAAAGAACAGGGTGGGACTTAATGCAGCTAATTTAAAGCATCATCTCAATGCTGTTCTGTGGATCAAACAGTGAAAAGGTACTCAGCTCTGGTTATTAATGAATTTGAGAGATAAAGGCAAACATTTAATATCCTCTAGTTATTAATGGCCTCGAGGATTTTGATCAAAATTTGTCTCAATAACTGTTTAACTTGCATAACCTACAAAAGAGATTCCTGCCTGCCTTATTGCAAGTCATTCAAAGACTAAGTTGACTCAGGAGGCCAGAGGCCACTTAAATGGTCTAGAACTGAGAAAGCAGATTCTTCTTGGGTCCTGAGGGATGTTGAGTCCCCAAAGACTTTTACAGTAGTGACTCTCTAGTTATGTAGTATCTATAACTTGGAAGAATTCTCTTTGAAGTTTCGTTGCCCTCAATCTAACCTAATACTGAGAGATCCAAGCCAATGAACACCTGGTCTAAACAGAAGAAGCAAAAATAAATGCGATTGCATCAAGAGCAATCAGCCTTTCAAAGACTTTTCTGGAGTGATTTTACTTGTGTATCATTCCATTAAATGAAACGATAGCCACCTTACTGGTATGATGGTGCTTATTTTCCTTGTAACAGTGCTGGAATATAGCCAAAGACACACAAAGACCATCTCACAAGCTATGGATTTCGGTTCTGAGAGGTGCTGAGGAAGATACCAAACTCAAAGGTTTGTGCCTTCTGTTAAAAACTGTTCGGTCTGGTGGGTGTTTTCTATAGTCTTCACTTTCTTTTTTAACTTCCTGACCCATCACTCTGTTTTCATCACCTCCCTACCTTTAAATAGCACCCAAAGGAGCAAGCCAGCTCCAAACTACAAATATGGCCACAGGCATAGCTGGATGTATGTGTTGTTAAAAATAAATACATACATACATAAATAAATCAGAGTCCTTGGTGCAATCAGAACTTGGTGCTGGGAAAGATGCCTGACATTGCCTAGTATTCAGGGCAAGAAGTGGATTTAGAAATGTACAAAACAAGACAGAGTCCATGCTTTTGTAGTTAGGGATTTAAGGAAAGCTATTTACTCCAGTTGTAAGAACACAAAGTCAGCCATAAATGTATGACCTGGCTGAGAACCTTCAGTTCTCTGAAAAACTGCAAGCCAAAATGCACTACCTGTAATAAAGATGCTAAAGGATGGTATGTGTTTTGTTGGAATGTGTGGGTGTGTGCAGAAAATAAGGGATTAAAATTCAAGGTGAATAAGGGAGGGTGGCCTTCCTCCAAACTGTGATTATTTCACTAAAAATAAACCCACAGCACAATGGTATCAGAGGGATCTCTACTCAATAGGCAAGCTGAAGACACAGTTTCTCTCGCTTGACTACGGCCAACGAGCATGCTCAGGGAGGCCCCAGGTGTGACCTCTGCTCCCCTGTGAGCAGTGGAGGGGCCAGGCAATCTATCATGGTGTTCCTCCTGTCAGCCCTGGTGCTTCGCCGCCGCTGTCTGTCACCCTAGTGGATGAGACCTGCTTAAGGGCAATCATGTCAATCTCTATGTGACCACTCAGTCTAAGGCAGAAGGATGATCTTGACAGGCCTGGCAAAGTCAGCAGAAGGTACCAAAAGCTGAAGTCACAGCCTTCCCACAGACATGCGATGTGGGCCATTGTTTTTTTCCTTTATTTTTTTTTTCTTTATTTTTACTTTCCCTTTTTCTTTTATTCTCATGACACAGGCTAAAGCATTCAGAACTTGCCATTAGAGCTGGTCATCTCGGATAAACCTGTTGCCTTCTGAGTTTTTCCCATAGTAAACATAGCGACACTTCCCCAGGACACCTGCAAAGAAAAGGAAACACATCTTTAGAGACGGCACAATTAGTACAGCAAGGAAACATAGGTGCAGTAAAGCAGATAGGCAACATGGTCACAGATCCGGTGGGTAGCAGCAAATGAATTAAGCCCCAGGAGGGAAGGACCCTACTTTCTTGTCCTCAGAGTTGACGTTCAAGTAGAATATCACCAGAGCACAGGCACCGAGGAATCCCATGTTTCCTGCACGAATTCTCCTCCACATTTCAGAGACTTTTCTAGTTTGGCCAAGTACTCCTCAAAATAAAGAATAATAACCCTTTCCCTCTCTGGGGTCCCTTAGTAGAGTTTCTGAAAATGGAAGATTAAGACTTTCTAGACGGGTCTGGCCCAAGCAAAAGATGTAAAACAATCTTCCCAGAATGTGACTCTTTTCAAGTCCTTTATCATGAATCAATACTATTAACTTTCAGGGAGAATCTTCTGAATCCCAGGAGGCATCAAGCACCTACTGGGTGATCGAGGAAGAGTGATGGTGTTGACAAAGTGCCACATGAAAAGTAACAAGAGCCTCTGACGTTAAAGGGCTTCTTCTTACAGGAGGCCTGAAATGAATCCTCAGGTTGGAATGCCTTTGATTTTCATCTTTAGTTTTAGTTTAAATAATCTTGTGGCTCTACGTACAGTTTTTGTTTCATTCAAGGAGACTGTAGGAGAATTTAAGTATGAAAAATACCCCTAGAATAGGGTCAAATCTTCTAACCAACTCAATATTTATTCTAAATATCCATAAGAAATTACCTGCCACAGTTATTATGGAAGCTTTGTGTAATTATTAAGGGCAAATCAGTCTTCCTCAAAGAAAACATTTATAATTACAGTTTGCTTTTTGCCATCTTGTGTTTTCTTCTTCTAATTTTAGAAAAACTAACTTAAAATTCAGCTTCACAGAGTTGCCTTTTTACTAAGAGCACTTGAGTCTCTGAAGTGTGAATAACCAGAAAAAAGCAAAGGAGTGTCCATAAAACATTAATTCATGAGCCACAAATCTGCCTGTAAAAATAGCTACCTATATGCATGATTATTTGTCTCTCTGTTTGATAGTGTGAAACCAACAATCACCATCTAATGTTCATCGGGGGTAAATTAGTACTAGAAATTATCCAGGTTCTTCACAGCAGTTCTAAGTAGTAAATATTTTTGGGATTGTACAAGAGATGTTTTCTCTACTATAGAACTTTAAACATTATTCTTAAATAAGGATTAAAAATGGCTCTTAGAAACCTTTAAGGACAGGGCAGATGTTTCATGGTTTGGATGGCTTAGGACAAATTTAGGAATGACTGGGGTTGCAGAATCTCTCAAGAGTTGGAAAAGGGGAGAGGATGACATTGTTTCATGGTCTCAGACTGGTCTTGGGCTTGCTCTCATTAACTTCTATTTGTCACATTTCTGTGAACAAGGCTACTGTGGACCCCGCCTTGGTCATACTTTCTCCTTGGCCCAAATCCCTAATTTCTGCTTTTCAGAAATTAGGTGCTTAGAAACATCAAGCCTCGAGAAAACCTTCCTGAGACCCTCCTTGGGCTAAAAAGTATTCCTTTGGCTATTGGCCCCAAACAGCTCCCTTCACTGCAATTACATAACCCTGCGGTTGTACTAATGTTGTCACCAACGTTGGGAACTGGTCTGTTGGTCAGGCTTGGCTTGTCAGGTTCTGTTCCAGGAATAGCATCCCCTAGAGGCCTGGGTGGGAGTGTCTCAGATATTTCTGAAAATCCACAAAGGGCTTCCTTACACATAATTGACTCAAACAAACCCTCAAGAATCTGGAAGGACGAGGCCAAGGATGTTAATTTCTTTCTACAGTACCAGGACAGCATGACTTTTTATAAAAAGAAATGGATAGGGCTGTCAGATATCATAAAGAATACAGTCTTTCTCTTGAGTAAAAGAACAAAAGGCAGACACGGGCACGTACACACACACACTACCCACGAGCCGGGTGCATTCCCTCCAGTAAATCCTCCAGTGTGTTCTGGGATTGAATTTCTTGACTCTCCCCTCTCTCCTTGGTAACCATCAACTCCAGATCTTGCCTAGATACCACCTGGATGGCAAGTCCCATCCTGGAAACAAGCTGGCTACTCCTGGAACCTGGGCTGTAATGTGGAGGGAGGTAAAGTATTCTGAGCCATGTTCCCCAGGCCTTCTTTCTGGTTGGTACTGATGAAAGTCCTTTTTAAGGCCTGCCCTGTTCCTTTGGGCCCGGAAGCAAGAATGTTTATAGACATCCTGGGGAGAGAGGGCTGTTTGATGAATGCGGGAGACTGGCGAGGTGTCAGAGCTTGGAAAATGAGGCAAGGACATGAGGTATTAATATTGTCAATGATCTCTTGACGGGAAAACAGATACCACACTCACCGTCAGGTTTAAATAGACATCAAGTGCATTGATGACAAAAGGGCAGACTTCAAACAAAAGGCTGTGTGGTGGGGAGCACAGCCAGTCTCTGTGCTGGCAATAACCTGATCTGAAAAGACACTGTCAGGGCTAGAGACAGGCCCAGGATTGTGTGCGGTGACAGAAAACAGAGATGCTGACAGAGATACCGGTGCCATATTATGCCAAGGATATTCTAACACTGTCTGCGGCTCTAACGAAAGCTGACATCATTCGCTATCACTTGGGGTCTTCTCCGCCTGCTCCTGCAGAGCATTTCTCCCCAGACATCATTACAAAACTCGCTGCTGTAAGTTCCGGGCAGCCCTGTTCTGTCAGAGCACTTGGGGTCAAGGGGCCTAAGGATAACCTCAGTCAATCTAAATTTGGACTTTGCAGGAGGAGCACACTCAGCCCCCTGCTATCTCGGCTACTTGAGGTGATCGGACTGCCAACGTGCGAGGAGCTGTCACCTTGAATAAAATCCTAAAGGGAAGGCACTCAGTCTGTGGGCTGCTCCAGGAAGGCACAGGGATGGCGGCCTGGTGGCCAAAAATGAAATCCAGCTGCTGGTGCTCTCCTGGGGAGAAAGGTGGTCTGGCTAGTGACAGTTAAAATCGGCTGAAATGTTTGAACTCACACCCCCTACAATTGCTTAAATTAAGCAAGTGTTGCCTCTGTTGAGAATCCTACCGGAGCTCACAGTCGGGAGGTGATTATCCCTCACGTGGGACTTTAGTGCTCCAAAAATATATAAATAAATAAATAACATTAACAAGGAAGGGAAAAAAAAAAACACAAAACAAAACAAAACCACAATCCCATGTGTGGCCATAGGACTTTATTTATCATGAAGGTTATTTGTAAAATAATGGAATCTGCTTATAAATTGAGGTGGCAGGCAGCGTGTTTCTCTCCCCCGCCTCCCCATGGCCCTATTCTCCCGTCATGGCAACTGCCATAAACTGTGAAAATTACAGAGGGAACAGTTTGCTTGCAAAGAACATTTTGACAGGGAGGCGCTCCGAGCCTGGAATTTGGGAACCCGCTGGTTGTGACTCAGTAGGCGGTGGTTTCCGGGTACATCTGTAATGCATTCACTTGTTTGTATCTCCTCGAACTATAACGTCTTGGGACGGCAGGGGGAACAACACATTTAATGGCGTGTGTAGTGTTTTTAATTAAAATATCTGGCTTTGGCCATAATAAGTGAAGCAGGCTTGCCGTGCATCAGGCTGACATGTATCTGTCTGTGTGGGGGTTTCTTTTCAGGGGCCCTGAAAAATGACAGTGTGCTGTCCCCTGGGGAATCTTCTCCTGCCAAATGAGACTCCTAATTTTTCTTAAGTAGCCAGCTCTCCCATCACCATAAGCTTTTAAAACTATAATTATGAAAAAAATGTATTGGGAAGAATCTCTTTTAAAGAGGTCCTTTATCTTTTAAATGTTTCCCCCTCTGGAATGGATGTTCTAATTATGCAGGTTAAGTTATGACCTTGGGGCTGCCTGAGGGGGTGGAAAACAGCCTCTTTTCTTCCTTGTAAGGCTGTGAGGGCTGGGGCAGTACCAGACTTCGGTGGGGGAAGACCCTGAGAGTCCTGAGTAGAAATTCCTTGCGCACTCATGCAGAGTCCAGCAAAGACCCCAGGACTCCCTGATCTCCCGGACAACCTTGCCCTGCCAGGTGCATTTCTCCTATTTAGTAAGGAGAGGTGGGAGAAGACCTATACTTAAATCTAGCTCTATGCCTGATGGTTATGTCACCACAGATATGTCCCTTTTCCTTACTGAGCTGCATTCCCCATTCGTAAAATGAAGGCAAGGGGCCAGATAATCTTGGAACTTCATTCTTGTTCTGAAATGTGTGATTTAGTATTTTCAAATGCTTCCCTTATGACAATAAGGATGTCAGATCCAATAGTGCCTGATGGAGAAGGAAAATCCAATAGTCAGTTAATCAAAAACTTGACTTTGACTCAGTTAGCTCTTGAGACCCATCTAGCCCACATTCTCATAATATAAAGAAGAGGAGTTCTGCTGGGCCTCAAAATCTCCAAGGAAAGAAGTCCCGCTAACTTTCCTGCAACCTGTATTTTACACCCAGTGCTGGGAAGCACCTCCCACAAACTAGTCCCTATCCAGTTAGCTTTGAGTCCTGGTCGGTCGCATTAACTTCAGATTCCACAGAGCTCAAGACTAAATAGAAGCGTGAGTGTCTTCTCTCAAATGGTTGGCCATTTGTGTCTTAGCTGTGAAACAAGAATAATCTAGACACCTGCAAACATACCATCACAAAAATTTATTCGATGATCGAGGATAGGCTGGACCAATAAATTCGTATTTGTAAAAGAGAGAAAGTAAAAACTATCAATTCTATTACCGTTATTAATATTAGTTTTGGTAATCATCATTTTAAATGCTATTATAACAAATGCAAGTGTAGCTGTGTGATGACAGATTTTGATCAGTTTGCGATCACTAGAAGCTTACAAGTGTGGACAGCCCTACAAAATGGGTGAGGGGCCAGAAGGATTCTCATGGAACTCCTGTTCTCCAATCTGTATGAGTAAAGGCAGGAGCTAGAC